GAAACTGCAAAGAGTATCTTGCAACTCTAAAGGACAAGAAACAAGATAGACATTAATGAAAAATATTTTCAAGGATTCTTTAGCTACTACTAATTCTTCACTGTGGGTATTAGATACTGGCAGTGGTTATAATATTTGCAATATGGTACAATGATTCAAGATAAGTAAGAGACTAAAGAAAGGAGAAATTAATCTACATGTTGGAAATGGTGCAAAAGTTGCAGCCATAGCAGTAGGATCAATTTCTTTAATAATGCCTTCGGGCAAAGTACGTATGTTAAATAATTTTTATTATGTTCCTAAATTTATTTCGAACATAATTTCATCTTCCATATTGGACAAGCGTGGGTTTCACATTAACATATGCAATGGTATCTTCTTTATTCATTATGGTAATGATTTATATGTGAATGGATATCTCCAACATGATGTTTATGTTTTACCTAATATGAATGCAAATTCGATTATACATGTTTCTAGTCTTAAGATAAAAAGAGATGATCAAGTAAATCATACATACATTTGGCATTGTAGGCTTAGTCATATTGGAGAGAAAAGAATTAACAAGTTGTACAAGGAAGGGTACCTAGAAAAGTATGATTTTGAATCATATCCAACTTGTGAATCTTGTCTCAAAGGAAAAATGACCAAATCTCCATTTACTAGAAGTGGAGAAAGAGCTTCTGAATTATTGGGACTAATTCATACAGATGTTTGTAGGCCCATGAAAATTCAAGATAGAGGTGGATATTCTTACTTCATCACCTTTATTGATGATATGTCAAGCTATGAATTTGTGTATCTTATGAAACATAAATCTAAATCTTTTAAAATTTTTAAAAGGTTCCGTAGTGAAGTTGAGAAATAGACTGACAAAAGTATTTAAGTACTAAGGTTTGATAGAGGTGGAGAATATCTTAGTGAAGATTTTACTAGGTATCTCAAAGAGAATGGGATTCTCTCACAGTGGACACCTCTAGGAACACCACAACATAATGGTGTGTATGAAAAGAGAAATCGAACCTTATTAGATATGGTGAGATTTGTGATGGGGTTCACTGATCTTCCAATAAATTTATGGAGATATGCTTTGGAAACAACAACTACTTACTTAATAAAGTTCTCACTAAGTCAGTCTCTACAACACCATGTGAGATATGGAAAGGACGTAAGCCTAACCTTAAACATATTAAAGTTTGGGGTGGTCCAGCTTATATTAAGAGACTGCAGTCTGATAAGCTTGGCTCAAGATCTAATAAGTGTAGGTTTATTGGGTATCCCAAAAAAATAATAGGATATTATTTCTATCACCCTTTTGGCCATAAAGTGTTTGTGGCTAGTGGAGCAACCTTTTTGGAAAGGAAATTTCCTTTGGAAGGAAATTATACTGGAGAAATAGAACTTTATGAAGTTCAAGAAACTAATAAATCAACACAAAAATCAAGATCATGAGACACAAGTTGAAGAACCTTTATTGGATGTTTTGAAGTTGACAAGGAAGTTGTTATCTTCAACGATTGAAGTTCAAGAACTAAGTGTAGTTCAAGAACAAGTTAATGAACTAGTTCCAAATCAAATTGAACAACAACTAAATCCAACACAAGATGAGAAAGTTGTACAAGAACTTCTTAGAAAGTCTACACGAGAACGTCATGTACCAACTAGAATAAATCTAATGGTACAAGATGATGTATGAAATGAGGTTGATCATAATGATGATGACCCTAAGACCTATGAAGAGGCGACACAAGGTTCTGATAATGAAAAATGGCAAATGGATGTGAAAATAACTTTCCTTAATGGTGAGCTAGAAGAGGGTGTGTACATGACACAACCTGAAGGTTTCATATCTCTTCTTGATCATAATAAGATTTGCAAGCTAAAAAGATCCATTTATGGACTAAAGCAAGCTTCTCAAAATTGAAATATTCGCTTTAACAAAATAATTGAAAAGTTCAATTTTTTTAGATGCAAAGAAGAACCTTGTGTGTACAAAAAGGTTAGTGGGAGCATAATTATATTCTTAGTATTGTATGTTGATGATATATTACTCATAGGGAATGATATACCAGCATAGCAAAGTATCAAAATTTGTCTATTTGAATAGTTCTCCATGAAAGACTTGGGAGAAGCAACTTATATATTGGGAATAAATATCTGCAGAGATAGATCGAGGAAACTGCTTGGGCTTTCCTAGTATTTGTACATTAATACCATTTGAAAAGGTATAACATGGATAATTCCAAAAGAGGCTATCTACCGATAGGCACTGGAATTACTCTCAGTGGGGAGAATTGTACTAAAACACCTGAAGAGAGAAACACATGAGTAGGATCCCATACGCTAGTGCAGTGGGAGCTATCATATATACCATGACATGTACACGGTCTTATGTGGCTTATGCACTAGGAGCGACTAGCCGATATCAGGCAAATCCTGGTAAGGAACATTGGAAGGTGGTGAAGACCATTCTTAAGTACTTAAGAAAGACTAAAGACCAATTCCTCACTTATGGAGATTCTGAGTTGAAACTTGAAGGTTATACTGATGCAAGTTTCTCTTCAGATAATGATGATAGCAAATTTATTTCTAGTTATGTATTCACCTTAAATGGTGATGCAGTGAGTTGGAAAAGTTCCAAACAAGCTACAGTAGCTGATTCAGTGATTGAAGCAAAATATATAGCAGCTAGTGAAGCTGCTAAGGAAGTTGTTTGGATGAAAAAGGTTCTTAACTGAACTTGGTGTGGTTCCTTCAATAGAGGGTACAGTTACATTATTGTGTGAAAATACTGGAGCCATTGCTCAAGCAAAAGAACCAAGATCACATCAAAAATCTAAACATATTCTGCGAAGGTATCACTTGATAAGAGAAATCATTGAACGTGGAGACATCTAGATTCAAAAGGTTGATGGAAAGGAAAATGCTCCAAAACCATTCACTAAAGCTCTTGGTGCAAAAGAGTTTGACAAGCACAAGTAGAAATTGGGAATGAAGTACAAGAGCGATTGACTCTAGTGCAAGTGGGAGATTGTTAAGGATATAGTAAATATGTCCTAGATCCAATATCATATTTGATGATTTGAATATATTTTTGCAAATGTTATTTGATATAAAAAATATATGGCATTTAATATTCTTTTATCATAGTTATTATTAGTTGTTTGATTAACTTGATAAAGTCCTTGATTAAATTTTAAGACTTGTCATCGTGATGAAGATCATGATAATGAGAGTGAAGTTTCTTATAATTTAATCTAAATTTGTTCTTGATCGTAGGATTATTAATTTGGACATTAGTAATCCGGTTAGATCAATATTTACGTGATTATCTTTATGGGATAAAGATTAGTTGTTCTCATTAACTAAATCACATAGATAGACAATGCATATAGAGATATGATCATTGAACCGACTCATTGGATAATTCCTAATGGTTAGAATTACCATAAATTGTCAATAGGATATTCTCTTGAAGAATGTGATGTAACAATTTCCTTTGACCTGAGATCGTCATAGTAATTGACAAGTTATTTATTGTGCTTTGATACTAGACGCATATGGCCCTGGGGTGAGAGTTGAAAGGATATTGGGTATGATTAAATGCTTGTAGAATTAGTGATTGATCAAGATGGAATCTGTCAACTCCTAGTAATGAGTTTAAGCTCCATGTTGTCATGAATTATAAGCGACCAAATTAAGACCTTGGCCAGAAAAATTGAATGAAAGAAGAAAAGAGTTTCTTAAGTCATTCAATAGTCGATTATATTTGACATGAATACATAGTTGGTCGCCTATTAGGATTTGACAGTTAAACCATATCCTAAAGTGACTCAGAGCTATAACGACAGAAAGAATACTACATTGTTCTTCTACTGGTTCTTGAGAGTAAATTGTATACTTCATTCAATTCGGTCGTTAAGGAGTGTTGATAGACGCCACCCTTGATTAGTATATTGATGTGATCAATTTACTATCGGCTTAGTATTGAATCTATAGGGTCGCACACTAACGAGTGTTCTGATCTTTGNATAATTAATATTTATTTATTTAAGGTATGTATATAAATATTAATGAAGGCTTCTAAGTAAATCCAATTTTGAATTGGATTGACGCCTCAAAGGACGTGCGGCTACTTCAGACCCATCAAAAATGGGATTAGAATTTTTTAAGATAAAATACTAATTGGTACTTAAAATCCAATTTGGAATTGGATCTTATGGAAAGTCTACAAGGACTTGGCAGTCACGATGCCAATTTGAATGGGAATTCAAATTTTCATTGAAAATTTCCATAAAGTTTATTTTGGTATAAGCTTTTGCCACAAGTAAATCATTACCACAAAAAGGGGTTATAGGTGATGCATAAAGGGTGATGGAGAAAAATTTTCTGGATGATTAAGTCTTGAAAAGAAAAATCACTTTGTGAAAGTAGAATACAATACAAAGTCAAGAGAGAAAATACAATTACAAGAAAACTGTTTCTTGTTCTTCTATTTTCGAATTGAGATTTTTGAGAATTTCAACACAATATTTCATTCAATTTGTTCACGAGTTTCATTCATCAAAGAGTTGATTGCAAGGATCAGTCTCGGTGTGGATACGCATAGAGTCTTCGCACTATCGAAGAAAATTCTGAAACGACTCTCTTCACCATATACGTTTTAGATCCAATCTTTGACATGTAAATAAATTTTAGACACGAAAAGGTCTACCTAAAATTGTTATTGTCTTCCGTTGCGTGTTACGAACATCTCTATGCAATCATTCAAGAACTTGTGCGGTAGCTCTTCACTGTTTCCATCTCACGGATGGTAATGGAAATTCAATTAGGAAAACTAATCTCAGCATAACATAAAATAATTAATGTTTGATTAGAGGAACTAGAAAAACTATTCCACCCATATCTAATGTAACGTTTGGTTAGTCGTATAAGACAAAATAGTTCCGCTTAACTAATGAAACATTTAGTTGACAAAATTAAATAACTTGAACATTAAATTATGCGATTTGTCATGCCATACGAGCCATGGCATAGTCTTTAAATGGCAAGAATAATACGATTTGTTATACAAATCTGGCACCCTTCCCACAGGAACAGAACCATGATTATCATCAGGTTTTACAACATGACGAAATTTAGGGACAATCTTCATTTCTAATGGTGAAAAGAAGTAGAATAAATCCAGAATAGAAGCAAGCATTACAGTTAATAATTTTAGCACCCTAATGTAGTAATGGTTTGCACTATTCACAAGCCAATTTTGTGTCAAAGCTGCTCAAGCAGATAGCAAAAGCCTGAAATGCAGAGAGGGGATACCGGTAGTCCATGGTAAACATATCTTTACCTACTTTCCCGAACTGCAAGATGATTTTGTCATGATCTGATTGGCTTGTCGGCTGAGAGGTTGTCGGTCCAGCAACTGGTTGTTGAGTGGCAGCAATCAATTGAAAGTTCTTGACAGATGCAACTGTCACCCGTCCTCGAAAATTTAGGCACCAGCACTGCAGTTGTTCATGCCATCGTGGCGCCTTGTTCTTTAGGACCAGTGGTTTCCCCTTGCCATCATCTTCTTCATTAGTTGATCCTCCACCAATATCAGAAAATCGCGAGCTACTGAACTCGGTGGAATGATCAAGTGACTTTGAGAAAGAGATGCTGCGAAACGAATCCTCAAGGGGCCTTGAGAGAAGCTCTGGTTGGCCAGGCACAGAGCCACCAGCATCAAGTGCTGAGGCAGGAATTGAGTGCATGACACAGTGCATTCTCCGTGGACCCCGTGTTCCAAGCACATTTAGCTCGTATGTGACCTGGGATATGCTATAGCTTCCAGTTGGGACTTTGGGAGAGACTTTCTTGGAGTTGAATCTACGGCTTGTGCGCCCTGGAGCAGGGACATGTGCACAGGTGTAAGGAGGCTGAGTGTCGTATATAATGAATTTTGTACCTAGAAAATTTGATCTGCAAAATAAAGTGATATTTTATCATCAATAGCATACACATTTTCACATAGTGAAAGGAGAATCAACTAGACAACTTCATTAAAAGATGAATATCAGTTTCTCGAGTATATATGTAATATAAACATAAGCACTATGAAGCTGCATTATGAATTGCGCTACACCCATCCGTTAGACTAGTTCGGCAAAGAGAGCTGTGTTATCAAACTATGGCAGAAGGATGCACAAGTGCGATATCAACAAGCCAGTGCATACCAAATGTACTAAATTTTAAGTAACTTATCCATTCTAGACATCCTCAAGAAGCTCCTTGGTGCCTTATTTCTTTAAGTTCCTCGCTGCTCTCTCTTCTTTTCCCCTTTTCTTTTTCACTTGTCTTTTACCCAAAGGTACTTTAACAATCAGTACATTTCTGCCTTGTAAACATAAGCATCAAAGTCATTCTCAAAAATCAAAACCTCACTTTTTCCTAGTAAGGAGTTGGTGGGGAAGTCCCTTAATTGGGTTTTGATAGCCTAGACAATATAATGGGATAATGCCTATGTTGCTCGGACTCTGCAAAAATTGTGCCGGGTGCATGCTGGATCCTCCAAAAGTAGTGCATTTTTGAGGATCTAACACGGGTGTCGAAATATTTTTAGAGAGTCCGTGCAACATAGGATAATGCCACAGAACTTCAGTTCAGCTTTCATCTACGACAACTATTGTTGACTCGAACTTTTATTTTCCTGATGAATCTATCCATGCATGATAGACTATTTCTACTTATTTTTCATTGAAAACCATAGTTAATTACTGACTAGTCTCAAGTTTCCGGGATTGCTCATGCCTTAGTATTGATATTAGCGAACAAGGTAGAAGCCATCTCTGCTGAATGGGAAGGGGAAAAGGAATATATCAAACGCATGCTATTCTTCATTAAATTCAGTTTCCCTGAAACATCTCAGTAATACCAGGTGAAGACAAGAAAGATATTGGAAAACAAAATGAATAGCCTCCATAATAACCTTAGTTTTCCAATATATGTATTGCTTGATCTAGAGATGTTTTCTGCATCCATTGAGATAACATACTCCGTGCAAGTTGTCCGTCTGGTTCTTTTTGCAGAGAGAAGGAACTTTCCATTTTCAACTAACAATGCTACAGAGAAAGTTGAAAATACCCCATTAACCTCTGAACAATTGCCACTCGCATATAAATTATGAAGGCAATGAAGCAAGAGTAACTAACGCATCTCAACCAAACGTGTCTAGACACAAATTACAACTGGAAATATAAGTATTAATGATATCATTAACTCAATTTGCATACAGAGAAGACTTTAACAACATAGATTTGTTTCCCTTTTTGCCTTTGGGTTTGAGGGGAAGGGGAAGGGGAGAGGAACAGAATGGTGGTTTTATATGACAGGAGATTGGAAAGACAGCAAAGATAATGTTCACCTCATGTTCTGAATTTTGCAAGTACCTTCTATGACTCAGATGCAAGGATGGCATCAACGAATTTTCTCAAAGAAAAAGATGAGGAATAGATGCAAAAATCATCTAAGCATCAAGCAAATATCAGCCAACAATGTAATACTTACCAGGACTAAGACACAAGAAAAGATGGTAAGTCAAATTAGATTTATCCCGCTTGATGAAGCATTGAATAGTTCCATCACGAGGCCCAGGCTGAAAAGAGAAAGTAAAAGGACTCATCAATTATCCTCCAAAAGATTAGTCAATAGACTTAATTCTCTAGTACGTCAGTTCCACTACAACCATCTGATTCTATAACAATTAATAGAAGGGTTGCTCCCACAGACCACACGGCAACCACAAAGCCATATTTCTGTACTCGAAATATTCCTCTAAGGAAGTGAAAGAAATACCTGCTTTAGGGAAACAGGAAAAGTTAGCTTTCCACAAAATTCAGGATTTCTAACAATGTCCTTGCACATACTCCGCCATGACCTACAAACTGCAGCAAATGCTACAACATGCTTACGACCAGGCCATGTGCTTTCACTCTCCTCTAACCTTCTAATTACATCAAAAAGTAACTCCGGAGGAAGATTGGCCCAACAACTGTCCTGGATAACAGGAGGCTGGTCGCTTAAGTCATAAAATGAACCATGTGATTTATCCCTGTGATGACCAGACAGCCTTAAATCAAAGCTTCGCCTTGATAAACTACCAATGCTATCTCTTACATCCCGCACTATACTGCGGAACGACATCTGAACTCAAAACTGCTAGGTCGAAGTCCAAACACCACAAATAAATGTTACTGACGTATCTACTCTTTTCTTATCAGGTAAGCATTTTCCAGTAATCTTAAGAGCTTCACAAATAGATACAGCTGCAAAAGATCGAAAAACCAAATTGTGTTTCAGTAACAGGAATAAATTTCTGAAGAAAAGTGAAGAGGAAAAAGCAAGAAAGGCATTTAAAGAAAAAAGTAAGAAAAGGGAAAAGAAAAAAAGAAAGAAAAGGGTATAAAGAGACATCTTCACATGGGGCGCCTAGGTAAAGTAAATCACATGACTTTTATCAGATACAACTTCTTTAGAATCTTAAGGTGATGCCTCATGCCAGTTGTCCTAGCTTAGTTGCAAGATAACTAGTATAAAAGATGATCTCTTTCAAATGTCATCAATCTTTCAGCAAATCCATCATTAATAGCGAAAAAAGCTACTCAAGATAAAGATAAACCCGCTACTGTTAACACTGCAAAATTGGCACCAAGCAGTTCAAACTAGATTCCAGTTCAAGAAAGGAAAGTTCAACTCGTTGTTGGATGATCACTGAATGTCTAGATTTAAGTTAGAAAGTTACCAAATTTGTTTCTGCTTAGAATCTAATATTGTTCCTCAAGCTTTATACTAAACATAATGCAAATTACATAAGCAGCTTACTAACAACCAGAACCTATAGAAAATGAGCATAGTTTTTCAAGTACCATTTTCATTCTTTATCTACTTATAACCAAAAAGAATAGGTCTTTCCGGTATATTTCTCTAAGTACAAACCATAGATATTTCATTCTCATCAAAACCTACAACTTAAACGACATATCCAGGTTGATACCAATCTATCAAGCCGCGTATAGGAAGAGTTCAGATGGTGACAAACCTGCAAAGTACTGTAGGATAATCAAAGCTCCATAACTTCCAATCCTGCAAAACCAACACAAGAAAAAAAGTTCTGTAAAATGAAAATTGAAGCTCCAAATTCCCAAAAGACATAAACTTTGTATCAGTTAGTATCAATGAAATCTAAGGAAGAAACCATCCCTCTCCACCCAAATGAAAAAAAGAAAAAACAGAAAGAAAGAATAAGACTTCAATCTGCAGATGACAAGCATAAAAGACAAGATTTTTACCAAAGGGGTAACTTTTCCTCAAATTTAGCCAAAAAACTAATAGCCAAAAACTAGACAACAACAACAACCCAGTGAAAATCCCAAGAATATCTCCACATTTTGAGAACACTAACATACATAGGACATAAATCAACAGTAAAAAAAACAGGAAACAAACATACAGACAGCATATAACATAAGATCTGAAGATGAACAAACAAAAAGATCAGAGATCTGTACCTTAAAATAAGAAGAACAACAACAAAAATATAGCATCAGAAGTCAGCAAGGACACAAGAATTTTTCAGGAAAAGTGGGTCAGAGCGAAGAAACATTTTTAGATATAACAGCTTCCCTGTATTTACTGCAAGTCTGTTTCTTTTGTCACTGCGGACTCAAACTCAACATTAAATCTAGTTCAACAAACCAGAAAGAGAGAGAAACTGAGGAAGAAGAACAGGTAAGAGAAGAAGAGTAAAACAGGGAAAAACAAAACAAAAAAGGGATGTGCATACTTTATTATATTAGCACTAAGGAGTAGAACTGTTTAATGGGGTCACACACTAATACTATATTGGCCTCTACGTGAGCAGTGTCCAACACTGGCTCTACGAAGCTACCACCATATGAGACATGGGAACATAAAAAAAATTCAAACTTTTTCTTTCGATGAATTTTCAATTAGTTTACGTGCATTTTAACTATTTTATCGAATATTTGTTATTTTTTCTGCGTTACATCNCCGCGAGGCCCGGCCCGTTAGGCCCACTAAGGCCCGGGCCCGGGACAAAATACAGCCCTACATCTACCATATCACTCTGTCCTGCCTTTCAACACTTAGGTAAACATAAGGAAATTACTTAGAATTGTTTACTTTTTTTACTTTAGATTTTAGAAGTAAAAAAACTTTCTTATTTAAGCAACATATGTTTTTGTGAACAAGCATACACGTTTTTCCCCTTTTGTTTAAGTTGTTTAATTTTTCTTTTGCATGTAGTTTAAATGTTTCTTTTTATACTAGTGTAATTTCCAAATTTGTCACCAAATCCTTTATTACCATTCCATTTATAGTAGCATGGATAAATTTACTGACGCGTTATTCATGTACTGTACTAACAACACGCATAGCATTAAACGGTAATTAAGTATAAACATTTCTCAATGCTTTAGATATTTTTTTGGTAACGGTAGTGTTTCGCTAGTTCGGGCGCACCTCGATTATTTTATTTGTTATCTGCTATATTCTATCCGCATAAATATAAGGTAAATCTACTTTTCAAAACTTGGTTAAATTTCACAAATGATCATATAACTATGATTTTTTTTACCAAAATTATATATAACTTTGTTTTTTCACATAAAAATCATATAACTATTACTTTTTTTTTCATCAAAGTCATATAACTATATTTTCTCACATAAAAATCATAAAACTTTTACTAACTCATACAAAAATCATAATGATCGAAAAATATAATTTTTCAGTAGTATTTTCTTACTTTGTGATTTTTTATTTTTTATTTTTTATTTTTAGTCTAATAAATAATAATTCAATTAAAATAGAGATGACCCAAACTGACCTGGGCTACCCAACCCAATACTCATATATATAAATTAAAATACTAAAGGTGAATAGTAATCCTTCAAAACATAATAATTCTATCTTTTATTTTTCTTTTCAAGATTTTTATTCAAATTGATAGCATTTTTATTTCAAGTGCTCTCTAGTTATACTTTTTATTTCTTTATTTTTTTGTCAGAATCTCGTGCATTCCGAATTAAGTTTTTTATGGGGGAAGAATTCACTTTTAGTATTGGGTTAGGTTGGGTTGGGTCATACATATTTTAAGGAAAAAATATAAAATTAACTGGTCGGTCGAAACTAATTGTATTTGCTCGCCAATATATATATATATATATATATATATATATATATAGAGAGAGAGAGAGAGAGGGAGAATATGTGTGT